TTTTTTTCAATAAAATTTTGTTCGATTTTTACTAATATCGGAGATTGTAATAAATGAGCAAATTCTCGACATATTTGGCTATTCAAAATTGTCGCACAATATATTACATCGTGAATATAACAGAGAAGCTAAAGTTAGTATACTTTATAACTAATATCGCACATCTTTTTTCTTTGTTTAGATAAAGATAAAGAAAACAGGACCAGCGTTTACACTTGTAATAAAATTTCCTGAAAGAACTATCGACATCGATGTAGTTCCTGTTTTAGCTTTTTCGCCTCGTATTACTATGCCACCAAAATGTTCAAGACGTGACATATTACAAGTACGTAATAAAAAAATTATAATACACTAGATTGAAGCAAACTCTGATAGAAAAATTTGTCCAAATGCGTTCGAAATGTAGTCAAAATGTGTCAGAATTCGTTCTAAATTTCTATATGCTAAATTAAAATAAGTTAAAAGTTAACCATGAATCGTGAAATTGGGATCCATGTTAACTTAACTGAGGTTGGTGAAAGAGACTCCTAGAAGCCAAGTAATGAGCATTTAAAAATATACCAAAAATGCAGAAACAGTCTTTATTTTGGTTTGACCTTGAATGACATCGTCAAGGTTCAATCACAACATTTTAATAGTATTACAATAACAAATATTGCAGCAATGTTGTTGCAAGTTTGTATGTTATATGAAGTTCTTCTTTAATCTTTTTTGAATTTAATTAATTTAATTTAATTTAATTAAAAAATAATTAATCTTTGTTCAAATTAACAATTATATTTATTAAACTCAATACTATTAATATTTTAAAACAAAACTTAATGGAGCAAAACTAATTGTTTACAACAATTTAATAATTAAATAACATGTTTCTAATCGCCTTCCTATTTTATAATAGTCTGCTTCAGAGAATAGACGTTGGTCTGCAGTTCCAAAACCATTAGATAACAGTAAAGGTTTTAAAGATTCACAACATCGCTATTGGCGATTGTGTTTTTACGAATTTGAAAAAGACATGATTTGTAGTCATGATTATGGGTCTATAAAACCTGTAATACGACAATTAAAGGTATCGTGGAGTAATAAACACTTTATTTGTACTAATACGAATAAATTTAGTCTATTTTTTATACTTAACATCGTAGATATCCCCTATATAATTAATTTTCTTTTTTTTATTTTTTTTTATTAGTTACATTAATGTTTTATTTATTTATAGTATTAATTTTTATTTTATTTTTATTGCACTTATAATTTTATACAATTTATTTTATATAATTTTATATATAATGTATGTTCTTTATTAGAAACTGAGGGATACTCAAAAATGGCACAGCATCGCAAGTTATTATCTTGAAACATTATGTTACAATAAAAAAGAAATGTTTCATATTTCTAAAAAAAAACCATATACTTTTTTATTTTTTACGGTAACGTATTACTAAAATACAATTTTTTGTTGTTTATTAAAATAATAACGCTGTTATAGATGTTAGAAGAACTTCACGATGCTCTTCACAATGGAAAAATAGAATTCTATTGGGACAACAATTACAATTTGCTGGAGAAAATCGGACCTGTGGAAATGGGAAATATGGAGTGTAGATTAAATAATGTTTTAAAAAGTATAAGAAAGAACATAAAAAATGATGATTATGCAATAGCTAAATACGTTTGTGAGTACTTACACTTTCTTCATGCTTCGAATATAAATCCATACGAATGATATATACATACATATGGTCAACTAGAAAATTAGCCACTTTTAATGCTTATATATTAAAATTAATAATATAGAGATTAAGTGGCTATTAATTAAAAATTATTCAAATTAATTCAAATAATTTATAAAAATTAATGTCATGATATTACATTTTACTTGAATTTTTGATTATAGTAACTAAAAATGAATTAGACATTTTGATACATTCGGAACATGTACCGGAACCGGAACCAGAACTCGAACTTGAAAATCGTAAGTATTTATATATCACATAATATATAGATGTAAGAAGTAAAAAATGTAAAATAAATTTTTACACAAAATTTCAATTTTTATTAAAAAAATCGTACACATGTAATATTAAAAAAAAAAAATATTTTCAATTGTAATGATTATTTGATTAATTTAGGATTGTTTCGCATTTTCAAAGAATGATATGTTAAAAATATATTTCAATCGATAAAATAATTAATTTATTGCATAAATATTTATAATATATTTATTTTTTTACATTTTTCATTTATTTTTGTCTATATAAAAAAACTTAAGTTTTCCAAATCTGAAAGTTAACAACAAAATAAGCTTTTTACAACTTACAAAGTAGATTACAAGTGTTGCAAAAGATAAAAGGGATATTAAAATTTGCATATATACTATAAATGAATATACTATAAGTAAACGTAAAAACTGTAGATACTAATTAGATTAAAAAGCATGCTTCGTCGAATTAGACCATGTGTTATTGTAAATGGTACGCTGCTATTTACAGACGGAATTAATATTATCTCTTAATTTTTATATGTAACATTCATAAAATATATATAAAAAATATGAGTAATTTCTTATATTATAAGAAATTTATCACTATACTTTTGTTATTACAAATTTGTCGCTCAATTACGAACAAGTCTTTCATCTTTCTTTATCAATCATTCATTATACTCATACATAGAATCGTAATTTTTAAAAGCCAATTGCAACTAGATAGTACATTTCAATGAATTTTTTTTAAATTTATATCTTTAAGATATGAAGATGTCTAAAAGTACAGATATAAATTCTAAAAATATGAATTTAAGTCAATTAAAAATTTTTAACAATAAATATTTTTGATTTAATAAATAATTTACATTTGTGCATGAAATTAAGGCACTCTTCCTTCATGCCATATTAGTCATATCGAATTATGAGATAACTTCTCACTTTTAATACATTGCCAATATGGAGGAAGAAATATACTTAATATTATTTTAAATTTTACGCTAGTTTTATACTTTACTTCACGATAATCAAACATATTTATTTTATATTATATTTATTTTATTTTACACTATATTTTTTCATGCTATTTGTTTGTTATCAATTAAGATTTTTATATATTTTTTTTGCAGTAAATCAATGGAATTGCGTGATTGTTTGACCAATTGAGAAAGAAATCAGTAATGTTACTAACGCAGCGTATTATAGCGAGACAGTCTGCTTCAGCTGTATGATGATCTTCAAAGTGTTTGCCAACTATATGTTCATGAATGGCAATAAGTTTTAAGCTACTTGGCCTCTCAAACTCAAAATTCAATCTTTTCTTCAAGTTATTTTTCTTGACTGGTCGCTGCATGAAGACATTTTCTGGCTTCGTTTTTTGAGCCTTTGGTGTTGTTTCGTTCGCCTCTTGCATAGGGTTCTTCGACGATTGGACATCAACATCATTGTTACAGTTATCTACTTTTGTATTTACGGCTTTAATATATTTATCGTCACAGGGAAGCATTATTCGCACAGTGGATGTCGTCGCAATAATTTTGGATTCTTCCTCTGTCACCACATCCATATCCATCGTGGAGAGTGCGTCATTGAATTCATCGTTCAACAAATCTTGAAATATTGTGCGTTCCAAGTTTCTTTTCTTATAGAAATCTTCGAACATTTTCCATGTATCAATGCAGAGGATTTCGTCACTAAGTATCTTTAATAGGGAAAAGGGTATTATTATTATTAAATAGTGATTATTATTAAATGCAATAAAAAATCATGAAAGAGTTAATTGTTATGTAAATCATTTATTACCTTATTGATACATTTGAGTTCCTCTAAGAATATTGGATAATCGAAGTTGTTGCCGTTATGTGCTGCGAAACAAATTGGCGGTGTAAGACGTTGCAAAAAGTGTATTATTAACTCATAAAGTTCACTTTTAAAAGGTTGCAATACCTGCATATCCTCATTATATAGTTCTGCAAAATTATGTATTATTTCCTTGTCAAAATTATGCCACTGTATTTTATATAAAAATGTTTAATTAGTATAGTACTAATGACTAAATTTGCCATTAAACTAATAGAATAACTCACTTGTTATATGCTGCACCTGTACTGGTATAACTTTTTGTGGATTAACTGGGAGTACCAATTTATGTAAAACTCTTGGCAGGCAATTTTTATTACCATTACGTATTGATTCTGTCGAGACAGCGACTAAAGCAATCTCTGTAATTCTTGGCATGACATTTTTCTGGATCAGTCCAGTTGTTTCCAAATCGAAAAATACAAACGTTTGAATATCCATGTCAACTTCCTCGTTTCCGTGTAAATATTTTCTCTTCTGTGTGGTATATTTTTATTATAATCTTATGATTTACCTGTATAACAATTAATTACATAATTGTAATAAATTTGACATGTATATGAATAAATTTTTAATTTTCCAAAACCTTACTTTACACTTTACTACAAGATATCCAGTGATTGTATTTTTGTTGAAGATAAGGCCTACTGATTACAAGCACTATTCATCTAAGATGCAACATTCTATCAATATTCTATGCAGTCAAGTTTCCACATAATCGTCTAAAATTGTAAAATCATAAGGTCTTTTCTATGACTATACTTCTCTCTCTCTTTTCTTTTTCTTTGTGCGTATCTCTTAATTAATTACTAACTACTTCGTTCTGAATATAGAAAATACAACAAAATATAACTATAAGAAATAGATTTGCATGCGTGCGTGCGTGTGTTGTGTATTTATGTGAAGTTTCAGCGATTGCAGAGATACGTTTATAACAAACTCCACTATTTTATTCTTT